ACCACCAGTAAAAGGCTGAAACAATTTGTGATTTTAAGTGGTGTTTTGAGGTAAAATTGTGATAATACGAAGTACGTAAGCAAAACTACATTTAAATTGGTTAACAGACATACCTATAAATATATATTGTAGCTTGAATATGAACTAATATTAAATTATGCACAGGATTGTTTTTGCATATGAAATGTCCGTCGGCATGATGTCACACCGGCCAGCACAAAAGCGATGGAAGCTCCTTAATTTGTCGTAGGCGGCCAGTTCGAATTGCAATTAAATTATAATAGCATCTTATTAGGACCGCACATCTTTAGTCTGTCTGGACAATGATTCCATACTCAGATTCCCCGTTAAGTGTATAATTAAAATGCAGACCACATTTGACCAAACAGATCTTGTCCTGCCCAAATTTTAACGAATTTGTTCGTGATCATTTACTGAATTTTCCGATTCTGTTTTACTTCTAATAATTGCGGAAAAAAAACCAATATCTTTCTAACCGTTCGCGAAAGATGGCGGCCACTATCAAACGGCATTAAATATTTCATTGATTCTGGCTTAAATGGTTGTTTCAAAGTCAACTACAGGCCTTTTGTAACTACAACGTCTACAACAGATGTTTCACAACGTTTATTTCACATGTTATGTATGTGTAAAGCTTGTCCTTGCGATATCTTTGCATCTCAGCCAATAATTTTAGTATCCGGTCGCACCGGAATCACAAAGTAACTCTCCGGATCTATTCATGAATGAGTCTTATGCATGATGGTATATAAAAATCTAAAACAAATTGAATGCGATCTTCGTGTTGTAATAATATCCTGATATCCTAATGTTGATATGTGTAGGTGTGGTCACGAATACATACTTTTTAGATTTACGGGTGTACCTTCTAGAAGTATCTACTAACAGTAGCAGTGCTATAATAGCTTGAGGGAAGTCTGGCCGTATACCCGTACCTAATGATTAATACCGCAACGGGCTTATGTAAGATCCTCCTTCATTTGATCCCCTGTCGATTTTAAAATGTAATTGTTATGAATCTTATTTGTAGATAGAGCTTTGAGATCGAAATATACGCTTAACCTAAAAAACGGTTTGTTTGAGAGCTTTAAAGTGTTTTACGATTTGCAAATAGGTTTTGAAGTGTCGGCCCGACGCGTATGTTTCTGTGAATACTAGATCAATCGTATTTTTCTAAACCAGTTAGTTCTTCCTCTGATACAAAATAAGATACAAATGTTTATTAGAGTTTGACCTAAATACCGTATGTTTTTTTCTTTTATTGCTTAGATGGGTGGACGAGTTTACAGCCCACTTGGTGTTAAGTGGTTACTGGAGCACATGGACATCTACAACGTAAATGCGCCACCCACCTTGAGATATAAGTTCTAAGATCTCAGTATAGTTACAACGGCTGCCCCACCCTTCAAACCGAAACGCATTACTGCTTCACGGCAGAAATAGGCAGGGCGGTGGTACCTACCCGCGCGGACTCACAAGAGGTCCTACCACCAGAAAATAAATGTGTATGTGCAATGCCTTTTTGTATATTATGTAAGTTTTATTAGAAAATCTGTATTTTTTATATAATCATTAACTATGTAATTTTGTTTGACTGTATCATGAATGTAAGTAATACAAATGGTAGATATAAATGAGTCGTCTATTATCAAAGGTGGCAATCTGTGCATTTGGACAAAAAAATGTTATTGATATGTCAATACAGATTGATTTGAATATGATCGTCTCCTTCAAAGAATACGGTTCAAAAACTGCATTAAATAAAGGTTAATGCTTAACCTGTTATTTATCTAAGATGTCGTTCAGAAGAGTTTTGTGACTGCCAATGGAATACAAAGTCAATAATTCGTTTTTCTGATTTACCAATAATTGTCCAAAAGTCACATTGCCGGCTTTGATAATAGTCGACTCAAATAAAGTATTAAGTAACATTTTGAACGTAAGATTACATGAAAACATTTGTAAATAAACACGGCTTGGTGATAAGTAATCGTTGTAAGATTACGCACTAAGGTGCTAATTCGGTTCAGGCTAAAATCGGAACACATCTAAATTTACGAGAAACGCTCTGCGCCATATAAGTGAAGTGCTATGAACAGTATTTCATTGCTCAAACCTGCTAACGAATGATTTTCACTGTATTTATATATACAGTTTTATTGGTCAGATGAAAGTATTATAGGCATTGCTGTTTGGATGCAAATTTCCAGTTCTATATAATTCGACCTAATTTGGTAACCTTATTAATATCATTTTATCACATATCAACAGTTGCGACGTCCATTCACAGTATCTTTTATTACAGCCAAAATGTAATCATACCATAAACTAATGTTTAATATAGTGATTAAAATAAAGTTGTTTGCTGGGAATTAAAAACATTCTGCTTGCTTAATAATGTTTCTTTGTTAAAGGTGAAGCCGTTAAAAGTCTCCTAATTAAATTTACCTATCGTATGTTGCTTAGATTTCAAGATATATAGAATTTTACTAATACTTTTTTCGTTTTCATTGAGAATATGAAGTTTTCCAAGGCCGTCGCACTCATAAGTGATAAAATACGATTATGAATTACTAGCGGCCCGTTCCGGCTCCGCTCGGGTCTTTAACTAAAATTTCAACGATATTTGACATTATTTAAAAAAATAAAAGAACACTTATTGTGGCATTGCTATAATAGTTAGACATATGCTGTAACGAAACTTTTTGTAAATAAGAATGTGTTCTACAAAGTCGTAGTACATTATTTTATTCTATAATCAATAGTTTTCGCAGGGCACGCGATGTAAAGAATATTTAAGGTAATTTTTTTACACCTTGAGTTACATTATTGGAGTTTTAGTAAGGATCCCTAATTTTTTTCAAAAAAGATTATAGTCTATGTCACTCGGGAATAGTGTAGCTTCCAAACAGTGAAAAAAATTTTCAAATCGGTTCAGTACTTTCGGAGCCTATTCAGTACAAACAAACAAATCTTTCCTCTTTATAATTATATAATATTATAGTATAGAAGTATAGATAAAATACGATTATGAATTATACATGAGCGCCGAGATCCTTTGAAAAGACTGCCCTTCTTCATTTGGTTCAAACGTTTTTTATGGGATGTCCGTTAGAAGAGTTCGAGCGAAACGTGTATGGACGTTGGAAACTATCCAAGATTTGCTCTTTCAATGGTATGTCAACACGTGCTCTAGTAACTACATAACAGAGTTCATTGTGATCAATTATTCAATTGTAATAGTCGACTAGTCTACCTTTACGATTTGTTAAGCGACTACATTTCTTTATTATTATTTTTTTATTGCATCGGTGGGTGGAGCTTACAGCCCAGCTGGTGTTAAGTAGTTACCCGAGCACATAGACATCTACAACGTAAATGCCGCCACCCACCTTGAGATATGAATTCTAAGGTCTCAGTATAGTTACAACGGCTGCCCCACCCTTCAAACCGAAACGCATTACTGCTTCACGGCAGAAATAGGCAGGGTGGTGGCACCTCTAAACCTACCCGCACGGACTCACAGGAGGTCCTACCACCAGTAATTACGCAAATTATAATTTTGCCGGTTTTATTTTTATTACATGATGTTATTCCTTTACCGTGGAAGTCAATCGTGAACATTTGTTCACTACTTCTTGACTATGATGGTTATTATAGCTTCACATAAATGGAGGCTTGTGTCCAATAACAATCTGGAACATGTTTAAAAGTCGCGGTAATCGTTACTCTGACTTTAATAGATTTTTTTATTTCCATACCGGTTAATTTCTCGAAAACGAACCGTGAATCGTAAAAGAAAAACGATGACGTTGCTTTAGAATATCTTTGGGCCGATAGAAAAATAGAGAGAACTCGGAAAAGATTCCGTTTTAAATTGAATATAATATGTAGGTATGCTTCGGATATTGTTATGATTTTTTATTATAATTCATTTTCGTTTTTGATGATAGAATGTATGACTTTCCGATTCACTACATTTTACTAAATGAAGATTATCATCTACCGCGTCAAACATTAAAGGATGTGACTCAGTGGGAATACCTACTCGCCGCGTAATGTCATTGGCATACGCGATTCCTTAGACTATTCTAGAATCGTGAAGATATTTTAACACTCTCCATTAAAACACGTTTGAAATCGTATTTTGTCGTATTATCAAGAATGTACAGCAGGTTCCGTGTGTTAATGAAAACCGGCTACAATGTTTTAATTTAACTTGATGAGGTCATGAAAGTCATTAAGTTGGAATGTTTCATTTTTTTAGTGATGGAAACAAAAAACGATCTAAAATCATAAGAATACAATACAAAAATGTTAGTAAACACTACAAACAGTAAAACATAAAGTGACAATGAATATGAGCGAATGGGCCGCCATATTGACTCGACTCTGTACAGAAATTATTTTTTCGGAATATACGGAAAACACCATTTTAATAATCTTTCTATTGACTAACAATCCTATATAATGTCATACCAAATACAACACGAACTACGGAGGTATAGATTAAAAACAAGAAAAATATTTCCGTAACCATTTTTAAGGATTGGGGACATTCTTATTGAAGCTTGGAGGTGGCATTCGCGTGTTGGTGTTGTTTGGTTTTCCTTTATGGGCACTACTTCTATTTCATAACTAAGGCTCGGTAGCGTCGTCCGTGATGTAGTCTATAGGTTCCGCAACCGGAAAATAGTCTAGAACGTTCGAGAAAAAAAAGACCTTATAAGTCTTCAAATAGAAATCGCACCAGTTCAGTTCCCACAAGAGTTTTTAATGACATTTCCAATGAAAAACTTCCATGTGAGAAAACAGCTGCGTTATTTCTATATTATGTTGAATAATTACCACCGATGTCAAGTCTGTTTCGTCGAATAAATGAAAACCAATTTCAATTTCTTTGCTCATTCTTGAACTTCTTATTCTGTTAGATCATAAATATTTTTCTTAAATTACCGTTTGCATTTTTAGTATCTTGATTACCACGACTGAGGTATTGGAGGGACTTCCTTGTAATACCTGCAAATTGAATAAAACAAAAATAATAAAATAATAAAGTATGGGCGTAATATAAGCACGATTAAGTAACTATAACTGAACATACAAACTTTCACAGTTATGGTACATAGTAAGGTATATTATTAATAATAGATTATGAATTTTTAATTGTTGCAGCTTACAATTTATTATGTTCAATTACCTGACAAATCCGCCTAATGGGGAGAAAGCTTTGTCGTTTAATGGTACTAGAAGAGGCGAATTCCTCAACCCTTGAGGTAGTTTGATGAAATATTTCACACTGCTTGGTATTAAAACTCCTGTAAAATATTTAATTGTACTCACAGTTGATATAAAATTTAAACAGTTTATGTATTAAGAAGAATAAGAAAGAAGAAGAATTAAGAAAGATAAAAAAATAAAAATGATGTTATTACCGTTTGCGTCATATCTATATTTCCGAAGCAACGACTGAACATTCGGGTTTTGTATATTCGATAGCACCACCACTGCACATGGCTGCAATATTATTAACACAAATTATATGTGATAATAACGAGTTTATAGCGTGTTTAGATAAAATAGCGAAACAACTTGACTTCCACGGTGAAGGAATAACATCGTGTAATAAAAATCAAACCCGCAAAATTATAATTACTGGTGGTATTACTTCTTGAGAGTCCGCGCGGGTGGGTACCACTACTCCGCCTATTGCTGCCGTGAAGCAGTAATGCGCAGTAAAGCTATGCTGAGACCTTAGAACTTATATCTCAGGGTGGGTGGCGCATTTGCGTTGTGGATGTCTATGGGCTCCAGTGACCACTTAACACCAGGTGGGCTGTGACATCGTCCACCAATCTAAGCGATAAAAAAAAACTTTGTTGTTTGAATAGTGCCTCACCTTTTTAGTGCCTTCGTTCATTCGTTTGCTTTGTAAGTCAAAACCTTTTTTTTCTTCATTTTGATCTTCAGAGTCTTTGAATCCTAAAAGTTTTTCATGTCCGATTTCTTCACTACGGGATAAGTCATCGAATACTGTTTCACCTGTAGCATATGTCACAGGCAGTACGCTCTATAACAGACGAGTTTTTAAATGAAAAACCGTCGACTTATTTATATTAATACGCTTTTATTAGCTTCAGACGTATGTATGTTTTGTCACGGAATCTTTGAATATGATTTTGACCCCCTTCAGAACGTCGGATTAACTCGAAATTTGGTATACTTATTAAGGACCGATAACAATACAATATTGAAAAAAAAATAAAAAATTGAAACGCTTTTTTACAATAAAATCATTTTTTCTTACACTAGTTTTAATTCAAATTTATAAAATTTTTTATTGCTTTGATGGGTGGACGAGCTCACAGCCCACCTGGTATTAAGCGGTTACTGGAGCCCATAGACACCTATAACCTAAATGCGCCACCCACAAAATTTTCTATTTTGTAGTTAGATTTTCTATAGAAGCGTATTTTGTTTGGTTTTTTAAACTATTTTTTTTTAGATTATTTGTTTTACTCACACTTTTAGCAAATTGTATATTGTGTAAAATTATTAAATTGACCACTAAAAACGGAAGCATAGTATGTGGATCAAATCACTTCAGTTTCCAGAAATGAAATGACTAAGCGATACTTCAATTTCTTTCATTTCGCATTACAAACATCGCATCAAATTTCCACTTCGGCTTACATAATAAATTCGTACGTTTATGTACATACTCGTAATAACATACGACTCAAATATCGTGTATTGTTTGAATATTAAACGAAATTTTATAAACACGATTTTCATATAGTCTGATTTATGTGTTAGCCATAAATCACTAATCAGTACTGTCGAAGATATTGAAGGAATACGGGGTCACTTTAAGTTGAACATAAAACACAATGAGTCACAACACCTGCTGTACCAAATAAGAGTCAAAATAAATAACTCGGATCGTGTCACTCGCATGCAAAGCGAAATTAGAGTGGTTTATCTCAAGAAAACATACGTAGTAGGTATCTTTGATATTTTATATTAACATCGTACATCATACGGAACTACACATAGACTAATCTAGAACTTCCTACAAACTACATAAATTTTCTAATTAATTAAAAAACAATACAAAAGGATTAATAATTTGATTAACAAGTAAAAATGGACTTCAAAACTTGACGTTCAGGTTCAGAAGGTGATGCGGGTGAGATTTTGGGTCTTTTTCTTCGTCGCTTTCTTCATTTCTGAAGGTCGTGTCCCTGAAACTTGACCGCGGCCTGTCTCGTGGGCTGTTTCCACCTCGTCCGGTCCTCAGCTTCTCGAATGGCGGTTGCGACTGGCAGCCTAGTTAGGGTGGTTATTTGATCACACCAGCGGCTAGGTGATCGGCTGCGGGGTCTCTTTCCTTCTACTTTGCCCGTCAGAATCACTTTGTCCAAGTTATCTGACTGTCGGCGAGCAATGTGAGTGAAGTAGCTGAGGATCCTGAGATTTTGGGTAAATCCCATTAATCGCGAAGTTCTTTATTCTCGCCATAAATAATTTAAATGTTTAAATTTTGTATCGAGCACGTGAATTAATGATAGCAGACAGTCGGGCGCCCTGAACGTTGTACTGGTTTATTTTCGATTTGCCTTCATCTTGGTTTAATAATGTTGTTTTTGGTGGCTTCACTGACGATAATTCCTCAGAATTCAACTGTGACACGATTCCTTACGTGAAGCCGTGTGATTATAATTAGGCTACCCCGAATTCTCGTGATTAGCGGCGTAATATTCTTCGGGTGTATTCAAATAATCGGCGAGACCTTGGGCGTCGTCTTGCTTATCCGTCCTAGACCCTTCGGGCTCGGGAAGGTCAAATTAATTAGGTCAGGAAATAATACAGCGGTTAAATGAAATACGTGGGTAGTAAGCGTCGAATGTGAATTGTTGAAAATGTATGTAGAGTGTTTTTTAGGCAGCGTTATGAATGTGAGCTATTGGTAAACTAAAAATTGATATTCATTATAAACAAATAAAGGTTTTTTGCCAACGACTATGCGAGCTTACGAGCTCGCGAAATAAAAATTTGAATGACATCATCCGTCTTGAGGTCAACGGTAGACGTACAACGACTTTTCCACGTTTTAAACTGGTGGACGCGATTGCTTCGCGTCGGAAATGGGGAGAATAGAGGTACCTTGCCATGCTGGCTCACGGTACGGCCCACTGAAACCTAGTTATTACGTTCCCGAGTTCCAAGATAAATAGGCTCCCGTGCATCTGCTAATTATGTGTTACTTTATGTTAAGTCGCACGCAATTGCAATAATAAAATCGTCTGCCTTCTTCACTTTGTATATTTTCCTTCCACTAGAACTATTCATCAACTGGAACAAAAGACGTCACTGTTTCGCTCAAATATTGTGGAAATTATGTCGCTAAAGTTTCATCGTTTTCTCAGTGGTTACCTTCCACATGCTATCTTGATGGATCGTTGTGTAAATATAACATTGTTATCTTAGTGAGATAGAAACTTGTTATAAATATTTGTTTAAAAGCAACTAAACATTTTTTCACAACGATAATTCATAATTTAACGATAATTCTCAAGTTATATTTTGCTTATTGTTTGTAATCTAACATCACCACTTATGCATTTTGCTATTTTATCGTCACACATAGCAGTACAGCCATAGTTTTTACGCGAAACTGCATATTTGAATTTAGCATATTCATTTGCTTTTTTATTTAACGCTGATTTCGAATTCTGAATTAACGTTTTTCAATTTCTGTAAGTGTACACGTGTGCAAATATAAAGAGTCATAAATTTTTATTATGTACGTATGTACGTATATATTCTTTAGTTATTCATACGTACTCGGCTTGTGTCAGTCTATATTTTGTAATAAATTATTCAATCGAAGTGAATGAAACGTTTGTAAATTCTGGCAAAACGTTTTTTAACGTGAATTCGATAATTTATTTCATCGGTGTTAAGTTTACAAATAATCATGACCAGAGTTAAGTTCTTGAGGAAGAGTCAAAGTAATCAATGGCCGAGTTTTAATGTCGCTCGTTCTGGATCGTTACATCGCAAAAGTCTACGTAACAAAAGGTATTCAATGAATATTTTGATTGAAATTTTTGTGTGGATATATCGGTGGTAAATAATTCCTTCGCTTATTAAGATTACAAAACAGGTTACCTGTGCCATCAAGGTTACTCGTGTACGCCAACGCGTGCTTATTAAATTCTGACGCGTCTGTTTTGTACACGTATAAAATTTTAAATACATGTTTTTTTTTATTTATTAAGTCCAGCGATCAATTGAAGTAGATGAACAAACCCACTTTAAGATTTGAAATCGAAGTCTCAATTGTATGTAATTAGTGATTTCATCAATGCCATGTCACTGCGTCTTGGTGGATTTCTTATGAACACACGCGTTGCGTATGTATGTATCTATTACCTTACCAAGAAATTGGTACTTTGCTACGGGTTTGAACTCCGGTAGTAATTGCATACCTCGATATGAGTATACTAGCGTCCTTATCCTTTAGAATGTGTATACACATCATACGTTCAGCCGTATATATTGTTTTTTAACACGACCAGTGCATAGGGCGTGTTGTGAGTGCGGTTTGATATACCAGTCTTTAACGAAACGATCTCTTCGTTTACACAAATGAAATTCATTCGCGAAGCAGCTGCCCTTGAGTTGTTAGGTCTCCCTCGGAGGCGCTCGGGCAGCTGTTAGCAAATCCCACCTCTCCTGGCTGAGCCTTTGCTCGCCCACCTGTCCTGGTGAAACTGGAAAGGCCTCCGAGCCAACAATAATCCTTCAATCCTAAACAAACAAATGAAAAAAAACTGTGATTCTAATGGTTTTTTTTTTGTTGCAGGTCAACCGGCAATTTCGCATCGGGCGCGGCGGGTGGCGGGTGTGGGGCGCCCCGTTCCGCTCCCGCCACCCCTCTGCAGCTCGAACCTCACCCCCGCTCAGCAAAACATGAAAAGTAAGTACTGTTTGATTATGAACTGAAGTTTAGACTGCGGGTCGAAGTATAACGCACAGGAGAAAATCCTAGCTTGGGATCATTTAATGTGGAACGCTCATTTCATAGCATATATTCAGACGAGATCGTGACCTACCATTATAAAGTAATGGGAGAACATTTTTAACACCATATATATGTTTTTATTTATTTATTTATTGCTTAAGTGGATGGGTGAGCTCACGGCCAGCCTGGTGTTTGTTAAGGGGCTACCGAAGCCCATAGACATGTACAACCAAAAGCCGCCACTTAGCTTGAGATATAAGTTCTAAGGTCTCAGTATAGTTACAATGGCAGTCCCACCCTTCAAACCGAAACGCATTACTGCTTCATGGCAGAAATAAGCAGGGTGGTGGTACCTACTCGTGCGGACTTACAAGAGGCCCTACCACCAGTAATTATGCAAATTATAATTTAGCGGGTTTCTTTTTGTACTACACGATGTTATTCCTTCACCGTGGAAGTCAATCGTGAACATTTGTGAAGTACGTATTTCATTAGAAAAATTGGTACTTGCCAGCGGGATTCGAACACCGGTACATCGCTAGATACGAATGCACCGGACGTCTTATCCTTTAGGCCACGACTACTTCAAAAAGGTTAATGCTATCATACCCTTCAAATAAGTACGTTTGATTGCTTGGTGATAGAAATGTAAGGACGGTGGTACCCAGATGTACAAGTTCGAAATCCACTCGAACCGATCACCCAGATAGGAGCTATTAGGACGGGTCAAGGAGAAGTGGTATTATTATGTCGAGGATGGCATGCTTGTACCGATAACTGATTTATTGATTATCGAAAATTCTCGTTGTCTATTGATTAATGGCAGCGCCTTCAGTGTAAATGGAACAAATGTATCTCTAAATCTATACAATCAAAATTTGTGCTAGGCCTTTTTAGTTGTTGAAGAGAAAATCGGTTAAGGACGTATCCGCCCACCACTAGACGAATGATCTATGTCGACATATTATATTCTTTATTAAAAAAAATGTCCTTTAAATTTAAGGTAGAAATAGTCTTGTCATTCTTCTTCTTCTTCTTCGTCGCTCGTTACTGAGGGTCGTGACCACCTTGGTCTAGTTTTTGCACCAGCTTCCTCCAATGTTGCCTGCATTCGGCCTGCTTAATAGCGCCCGGGCATTAATATGGCATTAATATTAATGATAGCAATGTATATGATGAATTAAATAAATTACGCTCCCATTCAAGTTTTAATTTGTGAATACCGATGGTAGGACCTCTTGTGAGTCCGGGTAGGTACACTGCCTATTTCTGCCGTGAACAGTAATGCGTTTCGGTTTGAAGGGTGGGGCAGCCGTTGTAACTATACTGAGACCTTAGAATTTATATCTCAAGGTGGGTGGCGCATTTATGTTGTAGATGTCTATGTGCTCCGGTAACCACTTAACACCAGATGGGCTGTGAGCTCGTCCATCCATCTAAGCAATAAAAAAAACTTCCCTTAATATATTATTAACATATTATATAATTATATATTATTAACTTAAATATAACGTGAAATCTTGTGTAATTTGGTTATGTATTAAACGGAAAATTCTAAAATAACGCAAAACCCTACCTTATCGCTGATTCATACGTTACCTTTTTGGGAAATATATGTACGAACGTTAATATTTAGTTTCTATTAAAGCTATCGGTGTAACGAACCATGATAATATATATGTATATTGTACACAATTGTTGTAACCTGTAAGCAGCGGTTTGGCTCTGCCCCTGGCATTGCTGAAGTCCATGGGCGATGGTAACCACTCACCATCAGGTGGGCCATATGGTCGTCTACAAGGGCAATAAAAACCCATAAGTTACTAGTGGGATATCCGGTGAATTTAATAATAACTTTTTCTGTGCTACTGCTCGAATAGTATTCTTGTCTAAAATTCTACTAGATCAGGGGTTCCCAAACTCATTTTGTCTACTATTATTTTCACTTTGAGAATAAATTATTTTTTAGCGCCCCCATTTTTCCACCTACTTAAAAGCCACTATGGCGCCCACAAGGGGGCGTTATCGCCCACTTTGGGAAAGGCTGTATTAGACTATAAATTGATTAATCGTTCGTTAGTCTCGCTAAAACTTGAGAACGGCTGGACCGATTTGGCCAATTCTGGTCTTGAATTATTTGTGGAATACCTGAGAAGGTTTAAAAGGTAGATAAATATGAAAATGCTCGGAATTAAATAAAAATAACAATTTTGTTTTCCTTTTGATGTGTCCCCCGTCGGACGGATTCCTTTTGTTTGTTTTAAGTTTACTTTATACAAAATTTTAGGTCTTTTATTTATCGATTGAGGCTGACTACGAAGTCTGCCGGGTCGGCTAGTACTGTATAATTTTTGTGGTCACGGACATAATTTTATCTATGCCTCGCAAAAACCGAAGGATATAATACTAAAGCTAGTGTTTAAAAGGCATATATCATCTCAGAACTGTAAATGGAATTCTACATATCCCTGGTGGATGGCATGGAGAACATATTTAAATGAAACTTACTGACTTCCTTCGTAGTTTAGACATCTTTGGAACCTCTGGGTCTGCGGAGGGACTTCGATTCCCTCTGTATTTTGTACCGTATGTTCCATGGGGAGTGCTCTGAGGAATTGTTCGAGATGATACCGGCATCTCGTTTTTACCATGGCACCGCCCGCCACCGGAGTAGAGTTCATCCATACTACCTGGAGTCACTGCGGTCATCCACAGTGCGTTTCCAGAGATATTTTTTGCCACGTAACATCCGGCTATGGAATGAGCTCCCCTCCACGGTGTTTCCCGAGCGCTATGACATGTCCTTCTTCAAACGAGGCTTGTGGAGAGTATTAAGCGATAGGCAGCGGCTTGGCTCTGCCCCTGGCATTGCTGAAGTCCATGGGCGACGGTAACCACTCACCATCAGGTGGGCCGTATGCTCGTCTGCCTACAAAGGCAATAAAAAAAAAAGATCTAAATAATTAATGCTAGCCCGAATTATGTAACGTAACAAATCATGAAGATTAATGTCCGCAGTACTTTTCCATAATATCGCGTTCTTACTTAAGAAGTAGGTACTTCGATCGCAATTGTTCCATAATTTATGCCACGAAACATTTCATTCGATGTAAAACCGATGCTTCTATTGTCTCAATTTTCTAAGTTGTTATATTATTGTGTCTACCAAATACCTACATATTAGAGAGATTACTGCATAACAATAGTATTATTCGTTATTGCTAAGACAGATGGACGGTTTCACGCCCTACCTGGTGTTAAGTGGTGACATTAACAATGTACTTAAATGCCGCAATTCACCTTCAGACATGAGCTTAAAGTTTCAGTTCTTCCAACTCTCCAAACCGAAACGCATCACCTACTATGCGTTTGCGTTTGTGTGGGGCAGCCGTTGTACTATACTGATACCTTAGAACACATATTTCAAGGTACGTGGCGGCATTTACATTGTAGTTGTCTGTGGGCTCGGGTTACCAGTTAACATCAGGCGGGCCGTGAGTTCGTCCAGCAATCTAAGCTATAAAATAAGGTTACCTATGAAGACAATTTTTGATGTGAAACATCTATAGCCGCACGTAAAACCGATTTCTGGCGTGGCGACGCATGCCGCCATGACGCGTCGCCACGCTATATGATGCTATATATTTCTTATAGGTCTATATGCAGTAGTGTGTACGGTGTGGCGACGCGTCGCCATGCGCAATCGACTGTGCGATTCTCTCCCACTCGATCCGGCGTTAAGCCATCTCTCTCGCTACACTGAGCTCGGATACCTATAGTGTATACTCCGTAGTGTATACAGTGTTGTTTACTACAGTACACATAACCTGTGTTTTACTTGAAATATAATATTTCGTAATATTTCGTAATATTTTATTTTATTATTATGACATATTTAGTTCCTATCACAATCTGTTCCTTTCTGCATATTAATTTTATAAAATAATGTCGATGTTTCACATCTGCTAGGTGTCGCGTGACGGATCACATTATTTTTTTAAAAGTAAATACGTACCAAAAATTTTTTTCACATTTCGTATATTAACAAATTTGCGTGTAGCAACTGATGTTAATTCAAGAGCATCCCTGTGTCAAGGAAAACCTAATAGATATAATCGCCAATTTCTGGAGCGAATCTCTCACGCATTCCGATGTGAAAAGTGAAGCATTCGTTATGCGATACAATTGCATCATCGACCTCATAAGCAGCAGCTTCACGGCTGAAAATAGGTAGGGTGGTGGTACCCACCAGTGCGGACTCAAAAGACGTCCTACCACCAGTAAAAGCATACTAGGTTACATTCTATAAAACGCTTAAGTACTGGTTATTTTTTCTGAAAACTATAAATATTGTTACGTATGTTCATTGTTAATGTCGCAATGAATAATTATGTTAGAGCCGCTTGTCATTGTAAATTAATAAACAAACATAATGTAAATTCGATTTATCCGGATGCTATATTTGTTTTCTATATATATACTTGTTTTAAAAAAAAAAAACGTTGTCCGTAAAACCATTAAAAGATATAATAGCTCCGTTCTGTAATTATTTATCAATCTGCATTAATATTATGTATGATTATATTGCGATTGCGATCGTTATTCTCCCGGCGGAGACTGCTAAACTGCTAATCAGTTGTACATGGATCGCCTCGCGGGCGGAACGCGTTTCGGAATAATATTAGCAAAAAAAAACCTGATTAAACGTTTTTTTGTGAACGACCGCCCATTAGCCGTGAATTTGTTTTGGAAGAATGGGCTAGTCTGTAGCGTGAATGGAGGCGAGGATGCCACCGACTTACGAGGAAAGTGAAGAACAGTTCGCCTCGAGGGTTGGGAAACTGGTAACACATGTCACCGTTGGACTAAGGTACAGTGATATTATCACTACATAGTATAAAACAAAGTCGCTTTCTCTGTCCCTATGTATGCTTAAATCTTTAAAACTACGCAAC